CCAGACACAGTACAGGACACCCAGTTAAAGTTCAATTTCAGATAAACAACTAATACTGGTTTAGTATAAGTATGTCCCAAATATTGCATCGGACATACTTGTTCTAAATTATTTGCTAAATCTGGTAACCCTATCAGGGCTGGGCCAGAAGGGGAGAGTTTGAACAGAGTAATGACTTTATCTGACTTTGTTCTGAAATGTAAGATGATTTTGGAATTAGCTTGTTCATCCATCTGACTCCTATTTATTAAACACATACTATTCAGACAGTGTGCTAGGCTCTGGGCATTCAGCTGTAAGCAAAATGGACAGGATGCGTGACATCATGGGCAGTTCACTCCGCCCAGAGGGCTCTACCTCCTTTGGCCTACACTTATCCGCCCTTGTTCTTCAGTGCACAGTCAAGTGTCCCCGTGTCCAGGAACCTGCCCGACCCTCCTCCACCAGCATGGTTTAGATACACTGTGCACAGCACCTGAGCCTCTCACTTGTTCTAACACTTGTCTTTGCAAAACTGTGAGCCCGGTGGAGGATAGGATTAGATCTGTTTGACTCACAGCTGATTCCCTGATTAATATGTTTTGACTGGCCGTTTGTCTAAACCTGATTCTCCAGGCTTCCTGGTGGTGGGGTGAGCTACCTAACATCCTTTCAATTAAATATACTCTGTTAAGATTAGCTACTTAGCGGCTAAGTGTGTGCGCTCCGCTACTGACGGCAGGGGTTCGGATCTGGGTGCGCACCGTCGCACCGCTTGTCCGGCCATGCTGAGGCAGTGTCCCACATACAGCAACTAGAAGGATGTGCAACTATGACACACAACTATCTACTGGGGCTTTGGGGATAAAAAGGGGGAAAAAAAGAGGAGGAGGATTGGCAATAGATGTTAGCTCAGGGCCAGTCTTCCTCAGCAAAAAGAGGAGGATTGGCATGGATGTTAGCTCAGGGCTGATGATCTTCCTCACACACACACACAGAAAGATTAGCCAGACTTGGCTTCTGTTGCTTGCAGGGAGCAGTTTTTTGGACTAGTCGGACCAGAAGAGTGGACAATGTGAAAAGCTGGTGCTCCTTCCTTGTGCTCCTGGAGCACCTGCCACAGCAGCGCAGGTGGCCAGAGCCTCTCAGAGACCAAGAGGCCCCTGGGACATACAGGCGAACAAACATGTTTGAGTTTTGTCTTCCCAGCATTTTTTTTCTCCTTTTTTGCATACAGACCCTATCCCTTTGGAGTAGGTACTGTCAATTTCCCACCCAGCAGTTATTTCATGATTTATTCATGTGTTAGTTAACAAGAGAGGGCAAAATGAAGACATTTTCCAGACATTTAAAAAGGGGGAGAGGGAGAAAACTCTGGCTTATCCACTTAATGAAACACCAAGGAACCATTTAAAATGACGTGCAATTACTTAGGGATATGCTTATGAAAGAATATTAAGTACAAAAAGCAAGATAAATTATATTCTTTTTAACAAGGTTGCATCGAATCCCAAATATATATTTTTAAATACACCTGTACAGTGAAAAAAAATTGACAAGAAGTATACCAAGACGCCACCGGCCGTTGTTATCGGGCGGTGGGGAATTCGGTGGTTTGATATTTTCTAAGCTTTATTTAGCCATATCAAAAGCTCTTGATACACGAAGTTTCCACGCTGCAAGGATTCTCTGAGATAAATAAAAATAGCATTGAGTTGCAATATTTGAAAACCGTTCTCCCGAGCTGAGCCTCCAGCGCGCAATTTGCATTCCTACGCCGCCGACTCAGCCTGGAGGCACTTGGCCCACTAGCAGCCCAGCGCAGGCGTAGAAACCTCGTGAGTGCAGCGGCGGCCACTCCCGCCCGAGTGGCCGGTTAGCTCAGTTGGTTAGAGCGTGGTGCTAATAACGCCAAGGTCGCGGGTTCGATCCCCGTACGGGCCACAACTAAAAGTGTGTTTTCTTCTCCGGTTCCTGTTCCTATTTTGAAAAAGCGGCCTTTCGAGGTCAGTAAGCCCCGTGCAGACAAGAGAGACTCACAGAATCATTCCGGACTCGGCCCCGAAGTTGTCGCAGGTGGGGAAAGGGGGCAGGATCCCAAGCGGGTGCGGACGGTGATTCGTTACCTCAAGTCTCCGTGCGCTGCCGCCTGTAGTGTTTTCAGGATGCTCTCGGTTGTTTTATAATGCAGAGCTTCTGAGGGCCCTCGCTGGAGATCCCAGTTTTCATGGAGTTCTTGGAGTTGAAAATGCAGGCTTGGAATTAATTCATTCCACGAATATTTATGGAGAGCCTACTGCATGCCCGGCACCATCTAGGCAGGGAGCCAAACAGTAAATGAGAGACACAAATTCCAACCTGCATGAAGACAATGACCAGCCAATGACTGCCACGTTTTTCAGTGAGGCATTCTGGTTATGGAAGCATCTGGAAAGCTTCTCTCGCTACTTTTTGCTTTTCAGAGAGATCTTAGGCTTCACATTTTTTTCCTCTTGGTTCTGCAGTTTGCAGCCAAAGGGCAGCTGAATGAATTTTTCACTCATGGTTCTAGTCTCTAGTTGTGATCAGGCATGTTTAGTTTAACAAAAGTCAGCTTTTTAGGGTCCATGACATTTTATGTCAGGATCCAGCCAGGGCTTCAGCCATGTTTGAAAAATCTCCAACGAGAACATCTACTAAACCATTCATTCTTTTCTCAAATATGTGTTAAGCTCTGACTTAAATAAGTTACATCTGGAGTCCACAGACCACAGGGGTAAAGCCCTTCGCAAGTGTGAGCGTGTAGTAAAAGTGCTCACTCACTAAATGCCGGCCATGGGACCGTTGTTACTATGAACAGTAAGTTAGAACCTGGGGCTGTGGACACCTAGAATAGACATCTGTACATGTGTTGCATTTGTCCACGCAAAATAACCAATAACTATTCTATAGATAAGGTGAGTTTATCTGAGCCAGGGTGAGGATTATAACCCAGGAAGGCAGTTTCCACAAAGGAAGAAAGTGTTCAGGAGGAATGTGGTTTTCAGTATATTCTTTTTTTTTTGGTGAGGAAGATTGGCCCTCAGCTAACATCTGTGCCCATCCTCCTCTATTTTGTATGTGGGTTGCAGCCACAGCATGGCTTGATGAGCAGGGTAGGTCTGCGCCGGGGATCTGAACCCGAGAACCTGGGCCACCAAAGCTGAGCGCAATAATTTAACCACTACACCACCTGGCCGGCCCCTCAGTATATTCTTATACCATTTTAGAACAAAGAACATACATTAAACATACCCAGGATACATATTCATTCAAAGAGGTATTCAGTTGCAAATTAGCAGGTCAATATGACCCTGGTGTTGGGAAAGGGACTAATAGGGGCGTTACCTGTAGGATGTTACAGATTTTGGTGTAGGAGGGGAAGTATGCATTCCTATCTTAAGAGAGTGTATTCTTTACTTTGAGATAATGTTTAACACATTCTTTACTTTAATGGTTAAAGCAGATGTACAATGAATGTTCGATAGGCCATTAAGTCAGGCTTCTTTAGTTCAAGCCTAATCCATTTTGAACCAAAATAGTTACCCCCTGTACCTCAATATGTGAAAATCTCTTGTCATGTGTCACACCTTGGATGTATGTGTCGGGTACCTTGTTAGATGCAGGGAACCAGCAGAGGAGGAGCCCGCTGAGATTGCTGCCCTCAGAGTGCACACTTTCCTGAACAAGGGGTTGAAGGGGTCCAGAATATGCCTCTGTGGCATACAAATTATTTTGAGCAGAAGGCATTTGAGTTCCTGAAAAGTTTTATCTGCCTAAAAGCAGAGCCTTGCAAAAAGACTCATAAGAATCCAATTCATAATTCCCCCTGGGGAGCAATCAGGGAAGATTGACTCTTATCACTAGAGAAAAGTTGGCACCACACCTAAACAGGCATTGTCATAAAAACTATTGTATCTCCCATCTACTACAGGTAAGGGCCTGTTTATCTTTCCTAAAAATCATTTGTTTTCTAAGTGCCCTTCTCTCCTTCCCTTCCCCTATTAAGATAGTATATAAACCCCACATTCTAACCACCTCTTTGAGTCACATTTTTCTGTGAACTCTTGTAGGTACGTTAATAAAAATATATGATTAAATTTTGTCTTTTCTCTTGTTAATCTGTCTTTTGTCAGTTTAATTTGCAGGCGCCAAAGACTGAACATAAGAGAGTAGAGGAAAAGTTTTTCTTCCCTGACAGGCTCAAAAAGATGATAAGATGGTGTTCTAGGTGAGGAGGACAGTTCTTGGCTTAGGGATCAGAGAAGACCTTTCTGATATCTGAGGATGGGAGGATGAGAAGGGCTCTCTTGCAAAAGCTTAACCAAAAAAAAAAAAAAAAAAAAAAAAAAGGAAAGAAAGAAAAAGAAAAGAAAGGATTAAGCAATTGAAACAAATTCCACAGATCTGATCTCCCCTCTGGCGTGCACTCTGCGCTGGGGCCTGTCCTGAGCACTGCATGTGTAAAATTTCATCTCGCCTCTCAAGGTGAGCCCAGTCCGGGTGAGTGGGTAGGGAGGGGGGGTCGACCTGGGAGCAATTTGGGGGTTGGGGAGCACACTTGTTAAAAATGCACCCTGTGAATCCCCTCCCAGGTCTATTAAATCTGAAGGTCTGGAGGTGGGGCCCAGGAATCTACGTCCTGAAAGGATCCTCAGGGGACTCTGATGCACGTGACGTTGAGAACATTTGGATAGTGTGATGTCAGGTTAGGGGCTCTGGAAACCCCAAGACCTCCGCCTGGGAGATCCTGGACAGCTCCTGGAGGAGGTGACACCTCAAAGTTAAACACGTCCATGACAAGCAACAAGAAAAAAAGGCCGGTTCTCCCGGCTGGCGGATTCTGTCCCGGGCGAAGTGGCGGCGGGTGGGGCCACTCCAGGCCCCGCCCACCGACCTGCTCCGTCAGGTGCGGTCGCTTTCCGAGGTGTCTTGGCCTGCGGGGCACTCGTAGCCGCCCCCTTCCCAGGTGACGCACATTCGAGCCGCCGTCGCTCGGCGGCCCGGGTTCGAGTCCCCGCTTCGGCCGCCATGGCGGACGCGGAGCCGGAGGCTGAGGACGGCAGCGAGGGCGGTGGCGGCGGCCGGGCTCCCCCGGGCCAAATCGGCAGCGCCGCGCGCGTGACCCCGCTGGGCCCCGAGCAGCTGCGGCGGGTCCTGGAGCAGGTGACGAAGGCGCAGCCGCCCGCCGAGCCGCCGCCGCCCTTCGTGCTGCAGGACGCGGCGCGGCGGCTGCGGGACGCGGCCCAGCAGGCCGCCCTGCAACGGGGCCCCGGCGCCGAGCTCCCGCGCCCGCCGCGCCTGCTGCCGCCCCAGGTGAGGCGCCGGGAGGGGCGTGGGGAAACCGAGACCCCGAGGGGGCCGAGGCCTCGCTGCGGGCAGGCCGGGGCCACGCCCCGCTTCACCTCTTCGGCCTTAGAGCTGCCTGGCGGGAGAGGCCAGGATCCACCCGCGTTTAAAACTCAGGGCGTCCCCACACTTAGCTCCATAGGGACGGCCGGGCACCCCCGCCTGTCACCGCCCCGGCGTTTTCAGCTCCTCCAACACGCCGCGCTTTAGGAGCCTTTCCCACGCTGGGCCCTCTGCCTGGGACGCCCTCATGCCTTCTCTGCTTTCACAGGCCTGCTCAGCGCTCCTCCATGCCGCCTAGCTCCCCTTACATTCCCTTGTCCGTTCATTCCGCATTTATTAGGTACTTACAGTATTCCAGGCACTGCCTTAGGTGCAGGAGGTGCAACCTTGAACACAGTCGATGAAGAAGAACCTAAGGCAGGTTCTGCGAGTGACTAGGGGGCCCCTTTAGAGTGAGTAGTCCTTAGGCTTGACACTGGAGCTGAAACCTGAATGGATTAAAAGGACCTGGCATAGAGAACTTTTCAGGTGGAAGGTGCTGCAAGCGCAACGGCCCAGACTCGGGACAGAATTAAGTACATTATAGTAGTTTGAGGCTGAATTTACCACCCTGAGTGGTGGTGCCTGTATTGGTAACCCCAGTGCCCAGCACAGTGCCTGACACACACTCAATGAATGAAATATGTGAAAGCACTTTGTATACTACAAAACATCCTTTCTCAGTGGCGTTATCTCCCAGGTCACACAGTGCTTGGCTGCTAGGGAAGTTGGAACTAGAACATGGTCGTCCAAGCCCAGAGGGTCCAGACCTGAAGCCAGAGGTCCTTCACATCACCTGTAAAATCACATCCCATTTCAGCGCTGGGGCTGTAAATGACATGCTTCTCCAAAATTGCCATAGAGATGCTTCTTCCATTAGAAGAAATAGGTAGAGAATAGAATCAACAATCTTCAGTGTGTTTTTGTTTTTGTTTTTTTAACTCAGTGATTTTGGCTGCTTAGAGTTGCACCCAGTTGGTCATCAAGACTGGAGAGTTGTCTTGCTAAAGTTTGAGAAGACGAGTATGATTCTGCCCAAACACCATACTTCCTAGAGATGTGACCTTGGGTAACTCAACCTCTCTGGGCTTTGGTTTCCTTGTTTGCAGGAGGAATGGCTTGTTGGATGAGCTTTCTGGCTCATACTCTGCTGAAGAAACAAATGCCTCCCACATAAGCCGTGCACAACCGTGCACCTCACAAGTCTGTGAAGTCGGGAGAGTGGTGGTAGCTGCTGTTTGCTGAGCCTCTACTCCATGCCCAGCGTTGTGCTGGGCTGCTCAGTTCTCAGCAGCCACACGAAAGTGTTTGTGTCAGCATTTTACAGATGAGGAGCAAGCGTGGTAAGGTTGAGTCATTTCCCCCAGGGTCCTCCAGGTGTGGTTGCACTCCAGGGCCTGTTGAATGTTGCCCCAGCTTTTTGGGTTTGGTGTGGCAACTTAGGAGAGTCCAAAAATAACATTTTCCCAAACTTAATCAGAGTTAGGCAGCATGATTGTATTCTGTAGCTAATCTAATTGAGATGATATAAATTCTGCCTGCATTCACAATAATGTAATTTTGCAGTCTCTTCAGCTAATACTTTTTGAACCCCAGCTGTGCCATGGAGGCCATAGAGGTAAACCAGATGGGTATCTTGCTCCTAAGGAGGTTATGATCTAACCAAGGAGGTAAAACATGACTCAGATAACTTCTAATCAAGGTCAGAAAGCTAGCGATACAAATAAAGAGCTAAATGCATTTAGAGAAAGGGAGAGGTTATTTCTGGCTGAGGGGATCAGAAACGACTTTGTGAAAGATGTGGCATCTGAACTAGATTTGGAAGGGTGGGTCAGAGTTGAAAATACAGAAGAAGGGAGGCAGTTTTGGGGAGGGGTGGGGTGTGCATTTGGAGAACCCAGGCCTGGTTCTCTGTGAGGAGTGGTGTGGATCAGAAGACACAGACCAAGTGGTCACACTCTCCCATGGGTCAAATTTTGGCTCCTGTTTCTCCCTATCCTCCCTGCTCCTGCCCCAAAGAAACATTTCCAGTCTCTTCCAACATGCCTTGCCCTTTTTCATGCATCCGTGTATTCACACGTGTTTTCCTTAAACCTCGTATACCTTTTCCACCTGGCAAAAATTCTACTCAGCTTTCAAGGCCCCCCACAGAGGTCACCTCTTCTAGGAAGCCTGCCACCCTTGGGCTGCCTGTGCTTCCTGCCTCTCTTATTGCACCTGTTGCACCATGATGTCATTGTTTTCCTGTCTGCATTCCTTAGGGAACCTGGTCTGCCTTCAGAATCATCAGCGGAGCTTTTGAAAGTATAGATTTGGGGGCAGGAGATCCTGATTCAGCAGGTCTGCAGGTGACTGAGGCATGGCAGGGGAAACCTCCCTCCTCCTGAGGGCTGAGGCTAGGACTTTGCTTACATTTATGCACTGGCACCTGGAGATACTTAGTAAAAGTTCGCTGAGTGAAAAAAACATATAAGAAAGTATCGAGTATAGTGCTTACATGGTAAACTAGTCTGGATAGCAGATTGAAAAATTAGACCAGGGCCAACCCCAGTGGCCCAGTGGTTAAGTTCTGAGTGCTGTGCTTCAGCGGCCCAGGTTCGGTTCCCAGGCGCGGATCTATGCTACTCGTCAGTGGCCATGCTGTGGTGGTGGCTCACATACAGAATAGAGGAAGATTGTCAACAGATGTTAGCTCAGGGTGAATCTTCCTCAGGAAAAAAATAGAAATTAGACCAGTATTGCCGCTGTGGTAATCCTAGAACAATAGGATTTGGTGTGTATGTGTGTGTGTGTAATAGCATTATCTGGAAATATCCTAAGAGCTTAGAGAAACATTCTTTTTTTTTTCTTTTGTGAGGAAGATCAGCCCTGAGCTAACATCCATGCTAATCCTCCTTTTTTTTGCTGAGGAAGACGGGCTCTGAGCTAACATCTATTACCAATCCTCCTCCTTTGTTTTTTTTTTTTCCCCAAAGCCCCAGTAGATAGTTGTATGTCATAGTTGCACATCCTTCTAGTTGCTGTATGTGGGACGCGGCCTCAGCATGGCTGGAGAAGCGGTGCGTCGGTGCACGCCCAGAAACCAAACCTGGCCCGCCAGTAGCGGAGCGCGCGCACTTAACCGCTAAGCCACGGGGTCGGCCCTAGAGAACCATTCTAAGTGACTGGTAGTAAAATGAAACGAATACAATTCTTAAAACATATGCAAATATATCTAGTTGTCATTTGATTCACAAGTAGCCCAGGAATTGGCAACTTGTGGGACACTGGCACCAGCCCTGTACACTTCCTCATAAACCAATGTGTTGAATTGTCTCTGCTGTTTGTGGAGGGTGTATAACATACCTACAGACTCCATACACATACGTACAGACTCCAGCTTGATTTCAGTGAGGGTTTGCATTCTGTCCTGGGTGACATTTTTATTGACCTGCCACTTGGTAGACGGTTGAGTCCAAAGACAGCCTGTTGGTGGCCCCAAGTCAGTGGTTCTCAACTAGGGGCGATTTTGGCAATGTCTGGAGACATTTTTGATTGTCACAACTTGGGGGGTGCTGCTGGCATCTGGTGGGTAGACACAGGGATGCTGCTCAGCATCCTACAGTGCACATGACAGCTGCCACAATGAAGAATTGCTAATCTGAAATGTCACTTGTGCTGAGGTTGAGAAAGCCTGCTCTGGATGATGAAGTTTGTCTCTTTTTTCTTTGGAGAAAGATGCTCGTTATTTCTGCTCTGTGAGGACAAGAACCTTGTCCGTCCCCTGAGCCCATGACAGCTGTATCCCTGATGCCTATGACATTGTCTCTGGCACATGGTCACTGCTCAGTAGCTATTTGTGGAACTTTGTTGACAGCAGCCCTCCTGTTTGATAGGTGCTTTGCTGCTACAGATGGTCTTTGAACCTCCTAGACGTACATCTTGGTGCCTATGCCCATATTTCTTATGGAATCCAAGAAGTGGAATTGCTAGGTCAAAAAGCACAGGCATTTAAAATTTTGTTAGATGTTAAAAAAAAAGGTTGTTGAAGATGTGCAGCCTTTAGATATGTGCCCTGGAGAAACACATGTATACACACACATCCACGCAGGTTCAGAGCAGACCATAAGAGCATAGGGTTGGAGACTTCCACCTGTCCATCAACAGGAGAATGTTGTTCTCATACTGCAGAGAAAATGAACCCCCGAGAGCTACACACCTCAAAATGGATGAATGTCACAAGCAAGATAGGGAGTCAAGAAACCCGAAAAAGCCCCACCAAGTTGCAGGGGATGATATGCACTCACATAAAGGTTAAAAACATATCAAAACCACACTACATATTTTTAGGGATATCTACGTATGTAATATAAAAAATGCAAGAGAACGATAAACAGCACATTCAGGATAGGGTGAAGAAAAGTGCATATAGATTGGGAGAAAGCTGAGGGCTTCACCTGGACTGGTAGCGCTTGTCTTAAGGTGGGTGGTAGGGACCTAGGTTACCTTGTTCTTTATGGCTTTTTTGGTTTCCAGAATTTCATTAAAAACTTTTTTAAAAATGGGTCCACATATTGAATTGAGTCTAATTTAGAGTACTAGGAACTCCCAAGTAAATATATATGTGGTAAAAACTATAAGGAAGGATATTTCTTCTTTTTATTTTTTTTTGTGAGGAAGATTATCCCTGAGCTAACATCTGTTGCCAGTCCTCTTTTTGCTAAGGAGGATTGGCCCTGGGCTAACATCCGTGCCCATCTTCCTCTACTTTATATGGGACGCTGCCACAGCATGGCTTGACAAGCGGTGCGTTGGTCCACACCCAGGATCTGAACCTGCGAACCATGGGCCGCCAAAGCAGAGCACGCACACTTAACCACTACGTCACCAGGCCAGCCCCAAAGAAGGATATTTCTTAATGGGTCATGAGATCAATTTAGTGGATTATGACTAGTATTTTTTCAAAAGCGGTATAGAAGAGATATTACCAGAAGGTTTTTATGTAGGAATGAATGGTAAGTAGTTTCATGAACTTTTTATTTTATTTATATATGCAGGTATTTCCACACGCACATATGGATGTGATGTAAAATATATCACTGTGGTCTGGTCAGAAAGGTTGAGAAACACCACTGTAAACAGTACAGAACCTTATATTGACTTTTTTATATGTAAGATGTATTTTATAAATCAGAAAAAGAATTTCGATAGTGGATTTAAGATGAGAGTGAGGGCCAGCCCCGTGGCTTAGTGGTTAAGAGCGTGAGCTGCTACTGGCGGCCTGGGTTCGGATTCCGGGCGCGCACCAACGCACTGCTTCTCCGGCCATGCTGAGGCCACGTCCCACATACAGCAACTAGAAAGATGTGCAACTATGACATACAACTATCTACTGGGGCTTTGGGGGAAAAAAAAAAGGAGGAGGATTGGGAAAGTTGGCAATAGATGTTAGCTCAGAGCCCGTCTTCCTCAGCAAAAAGAGGAGGATTAGCATGGATGTTAGCTCAGGGCTGATCTTCCCCACCAAAAAAAAAAAAAAATGATGAGAGTGAAATTGCAGAAGTGTTAATAAGCATAATACTTCTTTTCTCTTTCTGTATTTAAGCAATTGGAAGCCATTTGTGTCAAGGTAATATCTGGAGACACAAAAGGTCAGGAAAGGCCTATGCCCCCACTGGCCACTATCCAGCCTAAGGCAGCCAGGCTGAGCCAGCCGCCCAGGAGGCACTCCAGCATGTTGGGGCTCAGCGTCGCCAGCCCTCAGCTGCTCAGGGCACAGCCCCTCCTGAGCACCGGGCCACAGCCGTGTTTCCTGAGTCACTCACCTCAGCCTCCTCTTCAGGTGTTTGTACAGAGACCACTGCCCACCCTCCGACCAGTCCCTGCGAAGAGAGTCACAGCCCCCGAGGCTCCGAGTAGACAGGGCACCACGTTGGCGCCTTTGTCAGCCTCTGACCTACCGGCAATAGCGTCTGTTTCCACCAGTTCAGCAGACTTATTTATTTCCAACTTGCATACAAAACACACTGAGAAACTAAAAAAATCTTTAAAAGTGAAAACACGTTCTGGACGGATATCTCGACCTCCCAAGTATAAAGCTAAAGATTATAAATTCATAAAAACAGAGGATTTGGCTGACGGTCACCCATCAGATTCTGACGATTATTCAGAACTGAGCGTGGAAGAGGATGAAGACCAGAGGGAAAAGCAGGTGCTCTTTGACTTGTCGAGCTGCTCTCTGAGGCCCAAAACTTTTAAGTGTCAGTCTTGTGAAAAGTCATACATTGGAAAGGGAGGACTAGCCCGGCATTTTAAACTCAATCCTGGCCACCGCCAGCTGGAACCTGAGATGTTGCTGTCTGAGAAAGCCAATGGGAGCATGATCCGCGGCCGCGAGGAGAGCAGGGCTGTTGGCCTGCCATCCCCGGAGCTGTCCACGCCAGCTCTTCTAAGTGAGGAAGGGGCCTGGTCAGCACGGGGTGGCCTGCAGGTAACGTTTCTGTCTGGTGACGGTGTCCTTATTCCTGCCCATCATCCTTAAATTAATCCTTAATTAATAGGTGTCTGATGGGGGTTCAGGCGAAGGCTCAGGCAGAACCAAAATCATCATAGTGGGGGATCCGAGCCTCCCACACCCCCGTGGTCTGCATCACTGCCAGATGAGCCAGGAGATGTGTGTCTTCTGTCTGGTGTGGAATGCTTTACTGAGCGTGTTCAGTGGTAGCCGCCAGTTCTTTAGGTCTGGTCAGTAAAACTAATCGCAGAGCACTTGGCTGACGCTGCCGTAACAGCGGGTCTTGATAAGAGTCTAAACTGGGGGCAGCAGTCCACAGGGGTGCTTCCTGGAGTGTCACCTGTAACAGACTGCTTGGCATGTTCTCTCCCCGTTTGCCCCTTCCAAAGCTTGCAATCAGACAAAGCAGATATAAGTCACTGTGAGTTTGCATCACCATGTCAAAATTTATTTACTGAAATTTCAAGTTACAGAATGTGTGGTGTGCATTTGTGTGCCGTGTACAATAGTCAGTTGTTTTAAGAACAGCAGCTAGATGACTTTAACCAATGCAGGCCTCGTGGTCACCCTTGTCGCACTTTGCTTCAGCCTCCCTTCTTCCTTCTCCTTTAACTTGCGTTGGCTGTTATTTGTGTCTGTGCTTCCGACTAGGTAATTATATTTATATTAATTTGTAGTTTTTCAAATGTTAAATAGAGAAACCAGCATTGGAATCCATGTGACTATCTGATGGGAGTGTGTGACTTTAGTGACTTGGAAGGTGTTGAAAATGAGTGTCTGCTCTGGCCGCCTCATTCCCTGCAGTGGGACAGGGGTTGCTGAAGGCGGGGTGAGGCTGGCAGCTGCTTCGGCTTACAGATCTGCTCCTTGGGACCTGAACAGACACTGTCTGGGCCCAGGAGATCTGTACCGAGGGCTAGTGGTAGAACCGTGGGACAGCTCTGTGTTAGGTTTCAAAAATATCTTGCCCTGTAGCATTAGCTTCAATAATAATAGCAGTAACACCGTTTATTGCATGCATGCTTTGGGCAGGAGCCTCACATAAATTTTCTCAATCTTATGAGAGCCCTGAAAAGCAGGTGCAAGAGTTTCTGCTTGAGATGAGGCACGTGGGGCTCAGAAAGGATGATGAGCATCCCTGTCGAGGCCCATCTAGGACTCTGTCCAGGGTGGGAATTAGACCCAGGTCTTCTGACTTCAAAGCCCACACTCTAGACCTCTTTTACGAGGTTCTATGCCTCTCATGGCTGGTAAAACCCCAACTTTTGAGAAACCTCTCTACTTAAGTTGTAGTAGGACCGGGGTGACATGTAGTTTATCATCCAAACCAGGACATTTTGAGAGTGAAAGGGGCATTATTAATAATTCCAAGGGACAACAGGCATACTTGGGACTGTCTCAGGATGACCAGGCTAACTGGCACTTTCTACTTCCTTCAATAATGAAATCCTACATCACAGCAAAGGCGACTTCTAGATATTTGACTTCCTGAATACAGGCACCTGGCCTTGGGAGTGGTCGCTGTCCAGATTGCCTGTGAGGCCATGGGTTCCTGGAGCTGGCTCCCTCCAGCTGCAGGGGTAGAGAGGAACATGCAGATCTGTGTCTCTCCCCTCCTGTCCCGAGTCTGCTTTGGAGGGCCATGTGGTACTTAAAGCCACAGACAGACCTGGCATTCCTCTTGAAGCTTCCATTGTAATGAAGATTTGGAGGGAAAGTTCTTTAAGAATTAAGAGGACATACTTTGTGCTAGTTTTCCTTGTATTAGTTCATTTAACCTTCCAACAGTCCTGGGAGATTGTTATTATTGTTTTATTATTATTATTCCTATTTTATTATTATCATTCCTCTTTTCAGAGGAGGGAATTGGCAGGGAATGAGGAAATAGCTAGACAGTGCCAGATCCAGAATTCTCTTAAAAAAGCCACGCAGGGCCGGCTAGGTGGCCTGGTGGTGAAGTTTGCACTCTCTGCTTCGGCGGCCTAGGGTTGGATCCCGAGCGCAGACTGATGCGCCGCTGGTCAAGCCATGCTGTGGCGGCGTCCCATATAAAGTGGAGGAAGATGGGCTCGGATGTTAGCCCAGGGCCAGTCTTCCTCAGCAAAAAGAGGAGGGTTGGCAACAGACTTTAGCTCAGGGCCGATCTTCCTCACACACACAAAAAAGCCATGCAAATACATGGAGACAGAAAGTAGGTTAGTGGCTTCTAGGGTCTGGTGGGAGGGAGGAATGAGTGATGCTAATGGGTGCGGGGTTTCTTTTTGGGGTGATGAAAATGTTCTGGAATTAGATAGTGGTGATGGTTACACAACTTTGTGAATATACTACTAAAATCTACTGAATTGTATATTTTCAAAGAGTGAATTTTATGGTATTTGAAATATATCCAATAAAAAAATAATAAAACTTTTCAGAAGTCATGGGAAAGTTATGAATTAACAAAATTCAGTTCAATTTTTAGTATGAGAGTCATGTCAGAGAAATTTCTTGTTTCATTTTGGGCAGCACCCCAGGGTTATGGTTTGTCAGCCCAGATTTACTAGCTATTATTCATCTGGTGTCTTAAAGGGGTACTTTGTTGGGAAAATTTAAGATGCATTGATTATGGCTAATGTGTCTTGATTATGCAAAGAAGAATAATTTAGCAAGTTCCTTGCTTTTGACTTGAAATTTTTCTGCCTTAGGGTTTTCATTAGGATGTATAAAGCATAATTATTTTATTTGCATTTTGGGTATGCAACTCTATCTGGAATGGTCAGTCTGTAGAAGTTGAAGAAGCGTTGGTGTCTGAACTAGAAAATGGAAGTTATTCAGCCCTTTCGGGATCAGAGAGACATCCAGGACCTAGAAAAAGTGGCTGCTGCATCACCCCTGCGGAGTCCAGCGCAGCTGTCGCCAAGCAGAGCAGAGCAGCTCACCTGCACGCAGGCACTGGTGCAGCAGGTGCGCCCAGCACAGCAAGCAGCAGAGCCAGGCTTAAGGAGGTGCGTTGCTCTTAGAACCCTGTTCTTGAAACCTGTTTCTTTGGCCTGGGATGTGGCAATTCACTATTAGGTTTCTGAACCTAAAAATAAAATACCCAGATGAACTGAACAGTTCACCTGAAATGAAATGGGCTGAAGTATATAATAAATTCAAGGATAGTATTATCTGAAATAATTCCTAGGTTTACCTGTTTGAAATGACCAGAGGGCCTTAAATATAGCAGAGCTGCTTGCCTTCATAAGCTTTGGAATAATTATAACGTGTGTTTTCATGGAAGCAGTTTAGAAAACAACAGAAATGGTTTTCTATTTTTTTGTAAAAAGTTTCAAGATACAAAAGCATGTTTCAGGTTTTGAACCCTGGAGTCTCCTTTCCAGTCATTGAAAATAGGCATAGTAAATTTCATGGGATTGACTTAGAAAAATGGAATCCTAAACTTACCCAAATTATCTTTGGCTAGGATGTATTTATTTTCCTGGTAATAGCCGGATGAATAACTTAAAGAAAAGAAATGGAAAATAGCAAGAGACAGCACAAGAAGTTAGTGAGAACTGGTCCCAGAAAGAGTGGCCGTCAGGGGGCCCACGGCCTCCAAACTCCTACACACACAAGGGGAAGGAGTGGTTTTCAGAGAGGAGGTCAGTTTCCTAGAAAGCTTCGTGGGGTTACATCTTCTAGCAGGAAATTTAAACCTTGATATGAATTAGCTTTACTCCCATTGGGGCTTATTAATTAATCCTGGATGACTAGTTTTTAGGTGTAGGAGGTAAGGTAGTCCTTGACTTGATTCATTCATTAACATTCAAAATAGCCACCATCTATTGAGCACTTTCTGCATGGCAACTCAGCCACACTAACCCCTGTGCCTTTGTGCTAAGTTCCGGGTATTCCTCATTTCATTGATTCCATAATAATTATTATCTCAACTTAATAGATGAGGAACCTGAAACTCAGAGAGGATATATAACTTGCACAAGGTCACTCCACCACAGACAGGTGGCAGATCCAGAATTCGAATTTAGGATGTTTGGTGTTTAATAAGTAGGAGCATGTAATAGGGTGTCTAAGATCAGTGAGGCCCAGTCGGCTCTTTGCGTCGGCGACTCTAACATGATGATACCATCACCTTGATGTACAGTGCCACATCTGTCACAAACGGAATTGAGGACTACTCTACTCTTAGACATGAGAATCCTCCCAGAAATGGGCATTAATTTACACATTAACTGGATGCCCATCAAGTATCAGGCCCTGTCCTGGGTGTGGAGGGGACAGTGTGCACGTGATAGACGTGGCCCCTGCTTTGGGGGAAGATGACAGCCAAACCAGTTGGCAACAGAACTGCCAGGCGGGCATGAGTGTGAAGCCGAGAACTGAGGGATGCCCTGCCTGCTGTTGTGAGGCACGTCCAGAACTTAGGCCAGGTCGTGTGAGATGATACCCCACAGTCCAGCCTCCCATGTCTCCTCCCTTTTTCTCTGAGGGCTTTTGAAAATCATAATTAAACTTTTTTTTCTTGCAAATGAGAAGGTTTCCCTTTTTCTTTTCTGACTGTTTTATGACCGTCTGCGGCTCTCCTCTGAACCCCCTTCCAGTCTTTTGCAGCTCCTAATTGATTGCTCTTCCAAAGCCCTGAGCTCATGACCTCTCTGAGCCACCATCTTCTCCCTGACCTCATAAGACTTGCTGTTTCTGAGCCTTCTCAGCTTCCCCCTCACGTTAATTGCCTCCCTGGGTGACCTCAACCATCCTTCTGGCTTCTCAAACCACCTTACTCTACTGACGCCCATGTCTGTACTTCCTGTTCAGACCTCTGCTGAGTTCAGAGCTCTGACTTCAAACATCCCCACCTGGGTGTCCTGTAAACCCCTTGGCTTCCATGTCCTAGCAGAGCCCACAAGCTGGCTTCCGGTCCCACCCCTACCTTGTCAAGGGTCTGCCTGGCTGCTCAGCTGGGAACCCAGAGGTACCCATGACTCCTCTTTCCCCTTCACTCACCCCTCCCCGTGTTGAGGACTGTGCCCTCCCTGCATCTCTCCCTCTCCACACACCCACCCATCCCTGTTGTACTTGGGTGCTCGTCTGTCTTCTCCTGCCTGTACTTTGGCGGTAGTCTCCTGACTACAGGCTGACTCGGATTTGTCTACATTTTCGTCTCTGGTACTAGTTGGTGAGCCCTGGAGAGTAGGGAACGCATTTCCCCATTGCTGTGTCCTTATCCAGGGCCTGGTACCCACCATGCACTCAGTGCTGTCACGAGGGAGTCAAACTGAGAATCTGGAATTGCTCATAGTACTTTGCTAGTGGGTGAACAAGAGAGATTTAATACAGCAAAACATGTATAGCTTAGAGCTGCTTAATCACTTGGATTTTTGGAACTTTCTATCTTTTATGTTCTTTTTTGCATCAACTTGGCTACTGGGAAATTCTTGTGGGGCTTTCAAAGATGTCAAATGCTTTCTTCTGGTAGTTTCTCCACCAGTGTGACCGGGAGGATCTAGTGGAGTTGGCGTTGCCTCAGCTGGCTCAGGTTGTGACCGTGTATGAATTTCTTCTGATGAAGGTGAGTTGTCTTAGTGTTTCTAAACCAGCAAGGGGTGATCTGAAGTTATTTAGAAAGGCATCCTTCATAGTTATTTTAGAGAGTCAGGTCGTTTCACTCCTCCAGTACACGGAGCCTGCTGGTCCTGCCGGGGTGCCTGGCAGAGGGGACGATGCCTGCATGGCCAGGGCTCTCAGGCAGGCTGCTCAGGGACTCCCTTGAATGTTTTAATTTAACTTTGTGTGGGAGGCTCAAAAGTCGTAACAGCAAACTGCAGCCAGCCCACAGCCCTCGTCGCCTTTCTCCCCGGCACCCACCTGTCCTCCTCCACTCTGGGCTCTGCTCCCTGATGAGCCCGTCTGACGATGCAGCCTGGGCCGCCTGTGCCCACACTTCCAGGAGGTACCAGCATGACTGCCCGGAAGAGTGAAGGCCTGGCCCTCCTCCCGCCTGCAGGTCTGAAAACACGCCCGTCCTCAGGGCCTTTCTGCCTTCCCGACCTGCTCTCCCGTCCTCTGATGGCTGTCACCCTGGGGGTGGTTTGTTTTCTGGGCACACGTAGGCTCTAACTGGGGAGAGAAGAAAACACCTGCCATTGACAGGCTGCTGTGGGCTGGAGGAACTTGTATCCTTCCCTCCTTTAAGTATCTTTCTGTGTTTTCTATATTATTGCCTCAGGTTCAGACATTTTTGTCATCTTTATCTTTACTCAGGTTGACACAGGTCATCTAGCAAAGCCTTTTTTCCCAGCCGTCTATAAGGAATTTGAAGAGTTGCATAAAATGGTTAAGAAAATGTGTCAAGATTACCTCCGTAGTTCTGGTCCATGTTCTCAGGAGCCCCTGGAAATAAACAATGATAAGGTAACAATCTCACATGGGAAAAAGTTTTGCTCTTAGAGTTAGCAAAAAGGAGGAGGTCCATTTAAAAAGGAGAATGTTTTTAGTAGTGACATCTTCATAGTCAACTTCTTTTTACCTCTTTTTCTCATCAAGTGAAAAATGTTTTTCTTAATATAAAAGCGATAAATGCTTGTTTCAGGAAACTCAGAAATATAGGTAAGCTAAAAGAACATTAAAAACATCAAAATCAGGGCCGGCCCCGTGGTGTAGCAGTTAAGTGCACTCGCTCTGCTGCTGGGGGCCCGGGTTCAGATCCCGGGCGCGCACCAATGCACTGCTTGTCAGACCGTGCTGTGGCGGCGTCCCACATAAAGTGGAGGAAGATCAGCACGGATGTTAGCCCAGGGCCAGTCTTCCTCAGCAAAAAGAGGAGGATTGGCATGGATGTTAGCTCAGGGCTGATCTTCCTCACACACACACACACAAAAAACCCACCAAAATCCTCCCATTCACTGATGATCACAGTTAATCCCACAGTTAATATGGTGTGTTGTTTTCTTATTGCAAGTTTTTGGGGATGGGTTACACAGGGATCAGTAGTTATTGTTTGTGGTTGTTTTGACAGAATTCTCATTTCAATGTCATTGTCATCATCAAATTGCCTTTAGTAGCTATATTGGGTTCTTGATAAAAATATGTTTTGAGCTGATGTGGTTTTACTTGTTTTGGATAAAACCCTTTGCTGGGCATAGCGTACACCATATGGTCAGATCATTCAGGGGCCTCGCACTGTGCCCAGCCCAGAGCCTTGGCTCCTCATCCCCACTGCCTGTGGGTGAGCACCTTATTGACTCTGGCCAAGTCCCTGCACTCCCTGGGTCTCAGCCACCTCCTCTGTGAAAGGGGAGCACTGAATTAATGGTCCTCTCTGGCTCCCACAATGCCATGGTTTTAAATAGTGCCTTGTTTATTAAGAAAATTACTCATACAACAATGACGAATACTTAGGCCATGTTGCCTTTGACTGCTCTTAACATTTTATTAAAGTGATGATGGATCTGGCTATCTGTTATTAGAAGGATTAGCATTTTATAGAGTATGTTACTTCTGTAGCAAGAAGTCTTGATCTACCCTGTAATATAATACATGGGATTTTTTGTTCTTGTTTTTTGGGGGTTTTTTTGGTCATCATCATTAGTTTTATCCAAATTCAATATTTAATATAACCTAATAAACTTTTATATTTTATTTTCTTAAATTATATATATATATATAAATATAATGGATTTTTTGCTGAGCTCATATAGATGCCCCGGTTGGCAGTAGGCATCTGTACGTTTTTTAAACTGTAAATTAAACAAGTGTGGGTATCATCGTGTCACGAAGCAGACTGGACTCACACGAACACTGCACGCCCATTGGCACCCATCTTTGTAGGCAGCTCAGGCTGTGCCGCAGCCTCTTAAGAGCAAGGACAGTGGCTCAGTTTGCAAGAGACACTGTCAGGTTGGTAGGCACCAAACTTGCCTACCCCCGTTCTCTACTCTACCCTCGCTCTGCTGCCCTTCCTTCCTTGCCCCCCGCCCTCATGCTCTTCATGATGTCCTGTATAAATGGTGACAGCTGTCAGTTATGACTTGTACGTCTGGTGCTTTACACAGGCCTTGCATATGAAATCTAATCTGATCTTCACAAAATCCCTTCAAGGCAGCTGTGGTCTCCCTTACATGATAAGGAAGCTGAGGCTCGGGAGACAGATGGCTGCCAAGGTCACCCAGGCCATGAGCAGAGAAGCCGGGGTCCCACTGGCTCTCAGCCTCCCAAACCCACACCCTTTCCACCAACTGGGAAAGGTGATCTGGTTCTGGAATAGGCAGGATTATTTTCCTGAAGGTACCAGTGAAAATTCAAAAAAGGAGGAATGATAGGCAAGAAAGTTACCTTGGTATCAGTCTAACAATAGTAAGTGTGTGATGGCACTAAAGAGAGTGTTATAAACTTTTTTTAAAAACCTTTTTAATGTCTTCTTCTAAACTGTGCTAACAGAGAATATTCTGGTTCTGATAATAATCCATTTTATCGTCAGCTATTCCATCTAACTTTATGCAAGTACTTATCTTCATTTTCCTCATTGTTTAGATGGCCCCTCACTGTACAAAGGGATTTCATAGATTCATTCAGTCCTTTAATTTTTTTTTTTTTTAAGATTTTTTTTGGTGAGGAAGATTAGCCCTGAGCTAATATCTGTTGCCAATCCTCCTCTTTTTGCTGAGGAAGATTGTCCCTGAGCTAACATCTAGGCCACTCTTCTACTTTATATATGGGATGCTGCTGCAGCATGGCATGATGAGCGGTACATAGGTCCGCACCTGGGATCTGAACCCATGAGCCCCAGCCCCGAAGCAGAGTGCACAAACTTAACCATTACGCCATCGGGCTGGCCCCAAGTCCTTTAATTCTTATGTGTTGACATGCTTCTACTCATGTGTGTGTTTTTTTTTCATTTTTTTTTTTTGTGAGGAAGATCAGCCCTGAGCTAACATCTATTGCCAATCCTCCTCCTTTGTTTTTTCCCCAAAGCCCCAGTAGGTAGTTGTATGTCATAGTTGCACATCCTTCTAGTTGCTGTATGTGGGACGTGGCCTCAGCATGGCTGGACAAGCGGTGCGTCGGTGCACGCCTGGGATCCGAACCTGGGGCCGCCAGTAGCTGAGCGCGCACACTCAACCGCTAAGCCACGGGGCCGGCCCCATGTGTGTGTTTTGAGTGAAGCTTCTCTCTATTGGCCCCTTTCTCCTCAGGTTGCTGAGTCATTAGGAATCACAGAAGAATTCCTGAAGAAAAAAGAAAAACGCACAGATTGCATTCCAGCCAAGTGCATCAGCCGAGAGAGAGAAGGGGAGGAGCTAGAGGAAGCTAGCCAACAGAAGAGGGAAAATGAGGTGGGCATGGTTTGAAGCAGGTGCCAGGTTACTGTCTGTTGAATGTTGAATTATTGTGGTTTGACTTCTTCAACTCACAACACTGTTCTCCAGGAAGAAGAGGTACACGTTTGCCTATTTCTTCCTAGTCTTAGCTGATTGGGTCTTCTCTTCGTAGAGCGCAGAAGAGGGGCCAGCCTCAGTGAAAAGGACCAGAAGAGAATCTCTGCCCCAGGACACCAGTGAGTACTTTGCCGACAGCAGAGGCCAGCAGAAGCCAGTCTTGTGTGCTCCAGCTGCCAGTGAGGGTAAAAAGTTCTTCGTGGTGTGTGCCCTGTGGCTCAGAGGCCTGCTTTTCAGGGTTGGGTGTCCCTGTGGCCACATTTAAGAGAACCCTCTGGTTTCTCAAGATTTTTATCCCAACCTCCCAATGTTCTATCATTCCATGTTTATTCCCTTTGAGTCTTGAGGTCTTTGAGGTTTTCTCGGGTCCCTTATTGAAATGAAGAGCTTCGTGCTGGTGAATGGATTGCTCCCAGGACGGTCCCCAGAAGTCGAGCAGATCTGAGAGCAGGGACAGGTCCCAAGAATACACCATGTCTATGGCTTGGCTTTCATGAGACTTGGCTCTAAGTGCCAGCTGAGATACAAGATTTGAAAACAAGACATATTCTGGCTTTTATTCTGGCTCTAGCAGGAACCTGTCACCTAGACACTGAACATGTGACATACCGAGAATAATTACACAACTTTCTCAAATCTTATCAGGGCCACCTGATACCCTGCCTAATCATAAAGTCTCCAGTTTAAGGAGGCATTCTCCATTTTAGAACATATTACTTAATTCTGCTATAGGAGGGCCGGCCCCGTGGCTTGGTGGTTAAGTGCGTGCGCTCCACTGCTGGCGACCCGGGTTCTGATCCCGGGTGCGCACCGACGCACCGCTTCTCCGGCCATGCTGAGGCCGCGTCCCACATACAGCAACTAGAAGGATGTGCAGCTATGACACACAACTATCTACTGGGGCTTTGGGGGGAAAAAATAAATAAAATCTTTAATTCTGCTATAGGGGGAGGCAGATTTAGACATTGAGAACAAGGAAAACTCTCTGGCATTGTTTGGAACACAGCTCCCCTCGCCTAACTAGTCTGTATTTCCTCTTTTAGCTTTATCCCTACTTGGAAGGTACCAAGTAGCAAGGAGTTTTTTTCAGTTTTTTTTGGCAATAAAATTAATTGGACTATCTTGTTTTGGATAGTGAGTACAGTGAAAGGCCATAACACAGCACACGTATGACTACCCGTTCTTCCAAACTGTTTAGGTTTTGCCCCTCAAGTAAATGGGAATGCCTTGCACCGTTCTGAAGACAGCCATGTGATGCCGGTTTCTAACAACCATGGAAGCATAGCCCATGCAGGCCAGCAGCTGAAAGCATTTGCTGACTTAGAAGCCAGGAGTGGGTCTGCAGACCCTGCTCTCTTGTGTCGGGATGTCAGTGCGCCGGGTCTTTATACTCAGTTAGGAGAGCGCAGGATGCTGACCCAGGAACAGGTGGCAGCATTCCCCGAAGAGAATGTTCAGGAACACTCTTTAGACCAGGACGCTGGGGACAGCCTGAGGAGTCAGGGTTGCTGCAGCACCTTAATATCCGCTGGAGGAGGGGAACCCCTGCTGCCCACCAGATCTGGAAAAGCAGAGGTGGGAAACCTCTGTGAGATGCATGACTCCCACCTGAAGAGCCAACGGTCCAGCCCTGGTGAGGTCCTGCTTACAGAAGTTGCAGCCCCTCCACTGGAGAAAGTTTTGTCCATGGACATTGTGCCAGTAGACTGTGCCTACAGCACTGTATCCGAGCTGGGGACTCAGGCCAGCCAGGACGGATCGCTGTCTACTGTAGGGGGTCTCAGAAGCCATGTGGGGGCCTTGGATCAGTTCCCCTGCGGGACGAAGGTGCACGCTGACTGGAGAGAACTGGAGAGCGTTGTTGCCGTCGGTGAAGCCGTGGCTTTTGAAATTACCAACGGGTGCCATGAGTTGTTGCCTCAGGAACAGGAGCAGATATTTATTCAGACTCCTGATGGACTTATTTTGTCTCATTCAGGTTCCATAGTGTCTGGGGTGGAGAACATTGTCATAGTGACTGATGCAGAGGGGCCTGCACTGCAGACAGGCCCACTGGAAGGGGTTCCTTTAGAAACCGTGGAGGCAGAGCCATCACAGTGAAGTGGAGTCAAAACCACAGTCCTAGAGTTGTATGTATTTTATCCAGAGAAGGTCTATTTCAAGTAATGTATATTTTTCTAATGTGAATACTGACACAAATGAACATTTTATTTATAAAGAATAATGTCTTTCTACCTCACTGTCTACCTTTTTCTATATCTTAGTCTTGGTAATAATGGCAGATATGTTACCTGATAATGAATTCCTCTGATACAGCTAACCCTTAGAAGCTTTTGATGACCATCACAGTTAATACCACTATACCATTATCTGATTGTCTGCCCTGCTCCCCAAAACTATGCCCCCTTCTCTCCTCGGTGATATGCTGCTTTTTCACCATATCTGGGTTCAATAAAATAAATAAATAGATAGATAGACAGATATGCTAGCCATTCTGGGCAGCACTTTGTTGGGAAGTAGGAAAGAAAATGGTTTCTACATGCATTTTTTGGATGAGGGAAATGAGGCATGAATAGGTCCTTGGCGAGGTTAGAGCCCCAGTCCTTTGATGGCCCACTTATAAGGTCACTTATCAAGTTCTCTTCTTTTGAATGTTTTCCTTGGCTCTGTTATAAGGAAGGAGAGGGAGAACCATTTGTCTACACTCAGGTGAGAACATCAGAAGGGTGTAGCTCTCCTCTCCCTGCACTGGCAGAGACTGTCAGGAGAGACCCTGAGCATGCAGAGCTGGGATCGTGGGCTGCCCCCCACTGTGGTGCTGTGCTCCTTCTGGGGCTTGCTGTGGAGGGGTGGGCTTTATTCTCGGGGACCAGCATTTCGTATAGCCCTTTCAGTGACTGGAGGCATTTTCCTATCCTCTCACTTGATCTCAAAGCAGGTTCAATAGGAACAGAAGGGCAGGTGTCCTAGCAGGACGGAACGGCCAGCACTGAGCAAGCCACAGCTTCTAGGAGAGTTGGGTTCGAGGGTCATGGTGTGGTGCATCCTGTGGACTCAGGGGCACTTCTCGGGAGTTCAGAGTGAGTCCCATTCTTGAATCCTGGAGTGTGGACAGAGCTTCCTGTCTGAGGATCGTTCATAACCCCCATTGGGCAACTAACACAACAAGCTGGGTCAAATCTGACCACAGTCTAGACTGAGGCCCTGTTAAATATGCATTTATTTTCTGTTTATAGGACATTACTCTTTTGAATATCCCAACATATCTTAATTTCACCACTGTGTATGTCCTACTGTAAATGGATAGTGAATTTAACTGATGGAATAAAGATGTACCCTCATCTACTGTACATGGTTGAAAACACAGGGGGCTCTGATAGCAGTACACGCATTACTTCGACACGTGCTTGTTAAGGGCCTGCTGGGTGCCAGGCATGGAATTGACAGCAGCAGTCAGGACTGACCGCCTGTGCTTGGGGAGCCTGTGCTGTATCTACCAAGACAGTGTTCACAGGATCCCCAAATAGAGACAGATTTATAGCACAGCTTCTATATCACAGCAGTACATTGACAGGCATAACCTTATTACATAAAAAACAAATGGCAATTTCCTTTTCTCATCAAGAACTTTCTTTTGGATACATAGTATTTGTGATACTCAGATTAAGAGCAGGAGTGAAGAGGCATCAGCACAGACCTGGGGACAAATGCCACCCGAGTGACTCCCACAGGATGGCCAGGGTAGGCCTTGAGCGAGGACATGTGCTTGCAGCATTTATCACCGTACCAGGCACCTAGTCCATGTTCAGCCATTGTTAACTCCCTTTTTCCTGTGTTCCCTGGAGAGCACAAGGGGCCCTGCACTGCATCCCTTGTCAGGCTCCCGAGGCACCGGGTTCATCCTTGTCTGCCTTATTTATTTTATTTCCTTTTCTGGGGAAGATTCGCCCTGAGCTAACATCTGTGCCAGTCTTCCTCTATTTTGTATGTGGGTCACCACCACAGCATGGCTGATGCGTGGTGTAGGTCTGTGCCTGGGAACCCGCGAACCCGGGCCACCAAAGTGGAGCACGCCAAACTTAATGGCTACGCCATGGGGCTGGCCCCCACACATTTTTAAGATAAATTTTTATTTTCATCTAGGGAATAATATGCACATAGTTAAGAATGTCAAATGCTACTGAAGGGCCTCTGATGAGCAATAGCAGGCCCGACCTCAGCCCTCAGCTCCCCTCAGCTGAGGCCATCACTTTCTCCTTTTTAGTTATTTAGCTCCATGTGTCTGAATCATGTCCATCTTGCTACTTTCTTAACTTCTTCATATTAGATGTTATCCATGGACCAACTATTGTGAGACATGGCTCATATGCCTCCCCGCTCCCCACTTCTCGTGTCCTTCTATCTCCAGGTGGTATTAAGTCCGTGTTCAATGCTTACACTGAAGTGTAAATTTGTCATTGCTGAGCCTTGTGGTGTACTATGATGACATTTTCTTTCTTGTAAGCTTTTTTTTTCCCTAGAGATAATTGCCTTGGTTTTTTCATTTGCTTAGCAGTTTTCTTTCTTTTTTGCTATTTGGTTTTTATTTTCAACAGAATTATATGTGCATATAAAGTGTCAGTTCTCTAAGACTTATTTTTTAAAAAAGAAAGAAGCCCCTCCTCTTCCTCTTTTTTTTTGTTGATTTGATACACTTACATATTGCCATATGATTGCCACATAGTGTTAGCTAACACCTCCATCATAGCACATAATTACCATTTCTTTTCTCCCCATCTTCTTCTTGAGGTGACCGCCTTCAGGTCTTTTAGCTGTCTCTCTTGGCATTTCAGTCTACATCACTAAATGACAAGCTTCTACTGTCACTTCTTGATGTTTCAGTTTAGGCATTATTTACTGACTCGTGGAAGATGAACACATCCTATGCCACCCCCACTGCCATCACTGCTGCTCACCGCACACTTCCCAACCTTCCATTTACTAGGCTATCCGCTGGCTGCTTCAATAGAGAGAGCAGGGTTGACCATGAGTTAAACAAGATGGAATTTTATTTCTCTCTTGTCTTAGTCCATTCAGGCTGCTATAATAAAATACCATAGACTGGGTATCTCATAAACAACAGGAATTTATTACTCACGGTTCTGGAGGCTGGAAGTCAGAGATGACGGTGCCAGCATGGTTGGGTGAGGGCTCTCTTTCTGGTTCATAGCCGGCACCTTCTCGCTATGTCTTCACATAGTGGAAGGGGCTAGGGATCTTTCCAGAGCCTCTTTTATAAGACACTAACCCCATTCACGGGGGCTCCATATTCATGATTGTAGCACTCCCAAAGCCCCTAACACCATCACCTTTGGGACTTAGGATTTCAACATATGAATTTGGGGGGGACATACTCAGACCATGGCATCTCTCAAGTAAAAATGTGAGCTGGTAGGCATTCAGGAAGTTGAGTGACTTGGCTCCAGAAGTGGTTTAGACTCAGGTTGCTTCCTCACCCCTAGCGTGGCCCTCTTCCCAGAGGCCTTAGAAGGCTCACCACCCTCATGTGTCTGCTCCATTCCCTAGGAGGTAAGGAGCAGGAAGAACACACACAACTTTTAAGGGCCATGATCTGGAAGTTGCACACATGGCCTCTGCTCATGTCTCATTTGTTGTGTGGCCACACCTAGCTGCAGAGAAGGTTCTGAAACCTAAACTAGTAGCCACGTGCTAACTAAAACTTAAATGAAGGGGCTGGCCTGGTGGCATAGTGGTTAAGTTCGTGTGCTCTGCTTGGGTTGCCCAGGGTTCACGGGTTCGAATCCCAGGCATGGACCTACACACTGCTTGTCAGGCCGTGCTGTGGCAGCATCCCACATATTAAATAGAGGAAGATTTGCACAGATGTTAGCTCAGCGACAATCTTCCTCAAGCAAAAAGAAAAGTGGCAACAGATGTTAGCTCAGGGCCAATCTTCCTCACCAAAAAAAGAAACTTAAATGAAGCAAAGAATCGATACTGAAGGACAACCAGTGGTCTCTGCCAAACCCCTTCTCCCAGAATGGTTAAAATTGTTGTGGGTCAGTCTGGAGAAGCGGTGGTAATCAAAAACCTCAGCAGCTTAAAACAACAACGGTGTATGTGTTTCTTGCTCACACATGTCACTCATAGGTTGGTGGGAGGGCTCGGTCTCCTCATGGCCAGGTGGGGGACCCAGCGGGGGCAGCCACATCTCAAACACTGCTGGTGGCCATGCCAGAGGGAGAGAACTCCGGAAGAGGTCAAACCCACAATGAAATGTACTTCAGTGGCTGGAACTAGCCACGTGGTCTCACTCAACAAGGGAACCCGAAGTGCAGGCTTTCCATGGGCCAGGAAGGCAGGACTCCAAGAATATTTGGTGAATAGCATGAATGGCTAATCAACTGTTGGGTCACATTTTTTATGACATGCAAATATTGTTCACAGCTGAGCTGTGTGTGGTACATGGTGATTACTTTCATGCTTTTGTATAAGCTTTTGTGTTTCCTGGAATTATATACAGATATTTTCATTAAATGTACTAATCATGATTCATCGTGAAACCTTTCTATAATTCCGTTCTGTTTTTGTGGATTTCTATCTTTTATATTCCTTTACTGTCTATCTGGCAAGATTTTTGGAGGCAGAGGAGATAATTATGTGATCAATCCACTATCTTTAGAAATCCGATATCAGTTCTCTGACGACTTCATTGTGCCTATTCAGATAGAAATTTAGAAATATCTAAGTTCCAGATAGAATGGAAGAGATCTCTTCCACTGATTTGATACCTCTTCTGTTCTATGAGAGATCTCTGGGCTAATGCCACTGGATACCTTGTTCATGACTTAGCTCTTTTTCTTCTGTTTGTCCTGGGCAGTATGGATTCTTTCCATTAGTTCTCCTGGGCAACGTGGGTGCCCAGGGGATGGGGCATCAAGAACACATGAAATGTCCTAGAAAGGCCTAGAAACCCTTCAGTGTCTCCTCTGAAGAGCATTTATTCTTTTAGTACCCCCCAAACATAAAACTGACTGCCGATGGGCCTCATGCCTCTGGGGGCCCTATCTTGCCCATCTGCCTCTGCAGCTCATGACGACAGTCTGCTTCCTAAACAAGCAGGGAGCATGTAGCAGGACAACATTTCTGCCAAATGCTAACCAGGCGGTTTCCAGACTGCAAGACATCTGATGG